TTTTTGTATTCATTTTTTTATTTTTTTAATTATTTTTTTTCTACTCCTGTGACCACAGCAATACAATATTACCATAGTAACATTGTACTACTCTGGGCAAGTGATCAGGATTTGTTTTTCTTTACACATTATTATTGCTTATACTAATGAATTTCAATTGTATAAGCAAGCATTTTTACTAAATGAAACTGATTCATTCAGTAGTTTTTGTTGAGATCAGCTGTAATTGGCCACAGCTGATCACATGCTACAGATGGGCTGTGATTAGCCCAGTCTGTACATGTGACCACTGTGACCAGTTGAAGCTAGCAGCACAGTTGTAAGCAATGAATGGCATGAAAGGAAGACATCGGGCCCCTCCTCTTCTCCATCTATACCTCCTCCCTTGGCAAACTTATTCACTCCCACGGCTTCAATTACCACCTCTATGCCGACGACACCCAAATTTACCTCTCCACCCCCCACCTCACCCCCTCACTCTCTGCCCGCATCGCCCACCTCCTAAACGACATATCAGACTGGATGTCGCTCCATTTCCTCAAACTTAACCTATCCAAAACCAAGCTCCTGGTCTTCCCCCCACCCTGTGCCCCCCCCCCATCCTCTCCATCACTACTAACAATGCCACCATCTCTCCCACCCCACGCGCCAAAGTCCTGGGTGTCACCCTGGACTCCCACCTCTCCTTCCTACTCCACATCCAACTGCTATCTAGATCTTGCAGGCTCCACCTCCACAACATATCCAAGATACGTACATTCCTCACCCCAGACACCACCAAACAACTCGTACACTCCCTCATCATCTCACGCCTGCAATTCCCTTCTCACTGGCCTACCCAAACGAACGCTATCCCCACTCCAGTCGATCCTAAACTCAGCGGCTAGACTCATCCACCTCACCAAGCGCTCCACATCTGCCTCCCCCCTCTGCCAATCCCTTCATTGGCTCCCGATTGCCCAACGCATCAAATTCAAACTGCTAACTCTGACCTACAAAGTCATTCACAATACCGCCCCGAACTACATAACTGACCTGATACCCAAGAACTACCCTACCCGTGCCCTCCGCTCCTCACAGGACCTCCTACTCTCTAGCTCCCTGGTCTCTTCCTCCCACGCCCGATTACAGGACTTCTCCATGACTTCCCCCATCCTCTGGAACTCCCTACCCCAATCCATCAGACTGTCATCTACCCTCCTCACCTTCAGGCGCACCCTGAAAACCCTCCTCTTCAGGGAAGCCTACCCCAACCTCCCCTAACACCCGACCTCACCTAACAACTAACCTCCTCCACTCCTCCCACCACTCCATCCCCCACAGCCATCTACTCCTGTACCACCTTCCCCTCCCTTCTAGATTGTAAGCTCGAAAGAGCAGGGCCCTCGAACCCCTTGTGTAGTGTATTGTTACTGTCTTGTCTCATGTTCTGTCCCCCTTGCTACTGTCTGGTGGACATGGCTGGTGACAGATCGCACTGGAGTAGGGCCCATGGGGTGCATATGATGTCCTCCTAGGATAATAGGGATCCCACTTGGCCATCATCTTACAATAGGTTGGGAGGGAAGGAGTTAATCCTAAAAGCTCAGTATAGGAAAATCCACAAAACCTCCATAAAGCAAATCCTAGTTGGATCCCAGTGGACGGGATGAATATTTGGTCAAAGGAACTTCAAGAAGTATACTCCTCTCTAAAAAGACACCAGAAAACTCTGGACCACATCATAGAAAAGGTAAAGCTGGCCACATAGCAGGTAAATAAATAGTAGTGGTTCTCCAAACCATCCCTGTTTGCTGGAATATGCTAATGAGAAAGATAAAACAGCATGAAATGACCTGACTTTAAATAAAGACACATTCATAAAAATTAGAAAGTTGATCTACCAGGAAACCATGAACTCCCCTCTAAAGGAATTTGCTGAGGTAACTAATTAAGTCTGTAGAAAAAGGAAAACATTTGATTCATTTATATCATCTCAGATATCTCAAAATAATCTGTGAATTTTGTTTGCTACTAAACCTATGCTGAAAGGAACTTCAGCATTAACCACTTCAAAATTAGTTCATAGGCATGAGCTTAGTTATTTACTGAGTTCTTTGAAAAAAAAACAGTTTACATTTATTATGTTGGTATAAAAGACAACCTTGTTGATTGAAAATAAAATATGTTTTGTAGCAACTGATGTATGAACATTTAAAGCTGAACTGCTAGCACCAATAATTCAGTTAAATACAGTATATTCCTCAATAGACACATAGGATATAAATCCACTAAGTGCCTATGCAAGCCCAGATATTACATTGTATAAGTAGGGGTGGAAACATCACTGAGGCTCATAGTCTATGCTGAGAGCAGAGTTGTGGGAGAGACCCAGCAGACCCAATCAGTACAGGCTTCCTGAAGAAAACTACAGGAGGAAGAATGCAAGACCAGTCAACCTGCACAAGGAGAGAGAACAGCAGTGCCTGGTCTTGAATACAGAAATCTCCTACAGTTTTCCAATGGATGACTGCTGTCCCAGAGGTTAACATTAAACTGAATGTCAAGGCAAAAAAAAAAACTGCCATATATGCACATTTTCCCATGTTTTATCCCTTTAAAGACCCTGCAAGTACAGATAAATATCTGCTTATTGTTGGAAATGTACTCAGCTCTAAATGTCCAATTGTGAACTAAAAGCTCGCAGCATTGTTCTGAACTAGGTGCTGTCAGCCCTGACAATTGTCTTTTGCTAAACTATCCAACCATTAGGTCGTCCTAGTATTTTCAGCTGTGCTTCCACTGAAAGCATCATAATCTCTCTGTCTATTCTAATGGGTACCCACAAGAGAACACAGGGTACACAAATACTGGGTTTTAATTGTATCATTATCCTTTTTGCTTGGATTCTCCATAGGGATAACTGGAAAGCTTCCATTTTTTTCTGTTTTATGGTTTATTGTTCACACTTGACTAATTTCTAATTCTTCCCAAACGCTCCTATAGCATTTGACAGGCGATAAACAGGTGTTTGGGAAGCGTTTTTAATGCTCCACAAATGCCCTGTGAGCATTTTTGAGGCGTCTGATAGGCATTTTCCAAGCGTCAAAGCCGCACCACAAATGCCTATAATGAAGTTAATGGTATTAACGCCCCACAAACACCTTGCAAATGCCTTGCAAACGCCCTGCCAATGCCTGCCAGGCGTTTGAGGAGCGTCACCATAGACTTGAATGGGAGGCGTTGAAAGGCTTCAACTCCTCCTGACTAGACATGAAGCGTCAATTTTTTCGCAATTAAAACAATATAATGGTGTAGTGCTACATTAAGCAATATAAACGTATTTTAATATTAAATAAATCAGTGATATGATCTATATAAAACATAAAAAAGTGAACATATGTGAATCCACACACAAGGTCCTATGCTTGGACCCAATAAATGAGCTGAAAAATGACTGTGTTGAATAACCGCATATAATGAACCCAATCCCTACTGCGGGATATATATCATACACCAATAGTGTCCACAGTGAATCCCAAATGCTGGATATACATACAACAATGAAATATAAAGTTCTTGAAAAATGTATACACAAACCTGTGTATACAGTGAATCCCAAATGCGGGATATACAACAACTAAGTGACCAAGTGCTCATACAATAAATGAAACAAATGTATACAATATATCAATATGTGCAAAATATCAATAATAAAAGTCCAATATATGTGCAAAAAAGAAATCAAGGTGCTTCACTGCTCCAGGGCATGCAACTTAGTGCAGTGTGTGTGCACACTATATCGATTAGGTCTACTTCACTGGCTGCAATGGCCTCTCACCTCAAACCGGCAGCCCCAAAGGACCAATGCGCTTTTTGGATCCCCCTGGATTCTTCCTGAGTATACACTCTTTGTTACCCGATCTCCTGGGTCTTTAGCCACACTGGCCCCACACAGCAACATAGGTCTCCCTTCCTCTGGATAGGTAGGTACCCTCACAAATGCCAACTTACATGTAGCTACTCTCACCAGCTCCGTGTGTGACAGCAGCCAGCAAGGTGAAAAATCTTGGGTACAGTAAGTGAACACTGCAAGACAAAAGCCCTCTGCCAACCCTGCGCTCCCCTGCCTGACTGCACCACAACCTGCTCCATGCTGAATGGGAGGCGTTGAAAGGCTTCAACTCCTCCTGACTGGGCATGAGGCGTCAATTTTTACGCAATACTAACTGTTCAGTGTGAACAGCACTGTCTGCTACTATGTGCATAATTTTCATAGGCGTATGAAGAGCGTTAAAAATGCCCCTCAAACACCTGCCTAGAAAGCTAGTGTGAACTTAGCCTTACATTGACCATTAAAGTGGTATTGAACCAAAAATGTAATTTATTGCGGCTTACCAATCACTATACTGTATGTGGTGGCTGCATTAGTTTTCTTTCTTTGGCTTTTCCCCTCTTTTTTATCTGGTGATCTGGCCAGTAACACACCTCCTGTATTACAAAGACATAACTTTTGAGGATTAAGCACAGCAGGCACAAAAGACAGCAGCACTTTCAGTCTGGGTGGAGGAGAGTGTTTGATGTACTAGCAGATTTAAATACAATAACAAATGGAGGCCAACTCTAGCTCACACTTTATAATCTGTTGCTGCAACAGTTTTTAACAAATAAAAGCTGATCATTTTAATCACCCCTGACAGTGTTAAATGTTTTGAAAATGGTTTATAAACTGATACATTCTGCTGGACAGCTTGTGCTTCTGAAAAACAGACTTACTGACCAGATCACAGGCTGAAAATAGAAGAAATAAAGCCAAAAATTGGAAACTAATACAACCATCACTTTTAAGAACGGGTAAGCTGCAATATAATAAATTCTTCTTTTGGGGTTTAATACTGCTTTAACCGCCTCCCGCCCGCCATATAAGGTAATGACGGGTGCAAGGCAGTTCTCTCGTTCTGGGAGGACGTCATATGATGTCCTCCCACTCTAACTGCACAGGCTCTGGGAGCATGTAGTTCGGCGATCGGTGGTCACCAATCAACAGAGCCGAAAATGTCGGCACGGTTATGTGATCAGCTGTGTCCAATCACAGCTGATCGCATGTAAATAGGGAAATTTCTCTCCTCACAAGCTGTCACGAGCTGTCGGCATCCCTCAGAGGGGACATGTACACTGATCATCAGGGCTCTGATGATCAGTGTAGCCCCAGCAGTGCCACCTGTCAGTGTCCATCAGTGCCAGCTGTCAGTGCTCATCAATGCCACCTGCCAATGCCCATCAGTGTCACATCAATGCCACATATCAGTGCCTACCAGTGCATATCAATGCCACATATCAGTGCCCATCTGAGCTGCCTTTCAGTGTCACCCATCAGTGCCAGTCAGTGCCACCTATCAATGCCAGTCAGTGCCACCTATCAGTGCTGCCAATCAGTGCCCGTCAGTTCTGCCTATCAGTGCCCATAAGTACTGCCTATCAGTGCCACCTAACAGTGCCAGTCAGTGCCACCTAACAGTGCCAGTCAGTGTCGCCTATCAGTGCCGCCTACCAGTGCCATATATGAGTTCTGCCTTTCAGTGCCCATCAGTGATGCCTGTCAATGCCCATCAGTGCCACCTACCAGTGCCCATCAGTGCAGCCTATCAGTGCCCATCAGTGCAGACTCATTAGCGCACATCAGTGAAGGAGAAAAATCACTTATTTACAAAATTTTATAACAAAAACTAAGAAAATTTGTTTTTCAAAATTTTCAGTTGTTTTTGGTTTGTTTAAAAAAAAATAAAAAGCCCAGAGGTGATTAAATACCACCAAAATAAAGCTCTATCTGTCTCAAAAAAATAATAAAAAGTTCATATGGGTACAGTGTTGCATGATTGCGCAATTGTCATTCAAAGTGTGACAGCGCTGAAAGCTGAAAATTGGCCTGAGCAGGAAGGGGGTATAAGTGTCCGGTAGGCAAGTGGTTAATAAGTTGCTGTTTCTACAATTCTGAATAAAATTAGTCCGCACCTGAGCTGTCCTCTATGTACTTTTAATGTCATTTTCTCTTCCTGATTTGAACAGTTTTGCTGTGTTTCTAACTGCTGGAAGATTATTTTTTGTGCTCTGACCCATATACTCAATGTGGCAAGCAGCAATTCAATCTGTTGCCTTGCAAGAAGTCACACAGTGCTTGGCTAGCATTGTATTGACTAAATACGACTATTATCTGTATTGATTTCATCATACTGGCAACAATTCCATGTAGTGCTGACTTTAAATTGTATGTTCATGTCACCTTAATAACTGAACCCTATGTATTACTTCCTAACTGAAAATGAAAAAGTCACAGATCAGGAAATTGAGAGGATAAAAATAATTGAAAATGACAGATATACATAAAGAATTGGAGCAAGGCAGTAGTATGAAAGCTTAGATAACTGAACAGATGCATACGAGCAGAATAATGCCAGTATGTTTTGATTGGCACCAGCTATGGCACCTATTTTTTGCTTTACCACAGCAGATGTCGTTGCTATTATCTTCAGTTTTCACATGAGCAGAAGGTAACAACTCTTCTATTGAGTAGAGCGGAAGCACACACTACCAGTGCAGAGACTATAAATCTGTAAGACAAAGCCAACTACAAGGCACATGTGTACACACAAATGTAAGTACAATTACTGAAGCAAATTTAGTTGTTCTGGTACATAAAAATAACTAAAAAGAAATGAGATAAATGTCATGCAAAACTTATTTTAGATATGCAGATACATATGCCTTGGCCTACCTAAAAATATTTCATACTTCATTTAAATTTGATGTAAATCAGCGTAACCTAGCCTTTTTAAGCTGAGCAAAGGCCTATGAGAAACCATCGAAGTTCTTGGTTAATGTTAATATTCTGTGACAATAAGTAAGCAGTTTTATGGGGTTAGCTTGGTGATAAGAAGAAAGTTAAGGTTTAAGTAGTCAACTTTACAAGTCTGCATGAATAAATTCTTGACATTTAATAATATACATCAACAGTATGTTTAACCACTTGCCTACTGGGCACTTAACCATTAGCAACCTGGCCTATAGCCGTTTGGCGGCCGCAAAAATGCTTTAGCTTTCCGGGGTGTACGCCATTTGGCGTCCTCCCGCACATGTGCAGTTCGCGCGGTTGAAGAGCCGTGCAGCGGCGCGATCTGTCACCGGCCGTATACCTCGGACACGGCCGATGACAGATCTGAGTACCGGCCCCCGTTGCCGGTACCATGTGACCTGCTGTGACCAATCACAGCAGGTCACATGACAGTTGTATACAATGGATGGCTTCATTCATGTATATAGTGCCTAGCTGTGAATGGTCACAGCAGGTCACATGCACATGTCATGTGATTAGCTGTGGCCAAATCACAGCTAAGCACAAAAAAAAAAAAAAAAAACCTGAATGAATCGATGTCATTCAGGTAAATGCTTGTTTATAGCAAAGTAATTCTTTGCTATAAGCAAATTGTGTAAAAAAAAAAAAAAAAAAAAATACTGATCACTTCCCCAAAGTAGTACAATGTTACTATGGTAACATTGTACAAATTTGGTCATAGTGAAATATGAAAAACAAATCTTAAAAAAAATAAAAAAAAATGTAATAAGAAAAAAAAAAATATATATATATATTTTTTTTCATACTGTCACCAGTCAGTGTCCCTGTTCACCGCCATGCCAGTTATATGATGACGCTGTACTGCACTGGTGACAGTATGTATAAAAAAAAATTTGTGAAAATATTTTTTTTAATTTTTTCATTTTCCGAGAAATTATGAGAAAAAAAAATACAACTTCAAAAAACTCGCCATGCCTCTTATGAAGTATGTCGGACTGTCTACTCTGCAAAAAGGGGTCATTTTGGGATATCTGTACTATTCTGACATTCGTGGACCTCAAGAAATTAGATTGGCTGTCAGTACTTCAGGATTGATCAATATTCAGATCTATACCATAGTTTGTGAACTCTATAACTTTCCTACAAACTAAATAACACATCCTAATTTGGGTTATTTTCACCAAAGACATGTAGCAGAATACATCTCGGCCTAAATTTATGAAGAACAATTATTTATTTGTAAACTTTTATAACAGAAACAAAGAAAAATGTGTTTTTTTTTTTTTCAAAATTTTGTTTTTTTTTTTTTTTTTTGTTAATTTAGCAGAAAATAAAAACCCCAGCGGTGATTAAATACCACCAAAAGAAAGCTCTAGTTGTGTGAAGAAAATGATAAAATTTTAGTTTGGGTACAATGTTGTATGACCGCGCAATTGTCATTCAAAGTGTAAGAGCGCTAAAACGTGAAAAATGGCCTGGGCAGGAAGGTGTAAAATTGCCCGGTATTGAAATGGTTAAACCCCCTTCGTGTCCAGGCCAATTTTCAGCTTTCAGCACTGTCACACTTTGAATGACAATTGCGCGGCCATATGACATTTTTATTGTTTTTTTCACACACATAGAGCTTTCTTTTGGTGGTATTTAATCACCACTGGGTTTTTTATTTTTTGCACTATAAACAAAAAAAGAGCAAAAAACTTGACAAAAAAAGTTTTTCTTTGTTTCTATTTTAAAATTTTGCAAACAGGTAATTTTTCTCACAGAAACACCCAGTGACACCAAATATGTGCAAAAGGTCAGCAACTTACCAGATACCACGCGGTGCATAATTACATCACTCCTGTAAGCCACACCCTCCCGATTGGAGATGATTGGATTGTTTTCGAGCAGCCCACACTTCGTATGTTTTTATATGATGTGCTGTTAGGACAGTTTAGGCCTCTATGAAATATAAGTGCAATACCTTGTTTTAAGCAATAAAGCACTTTTTTACTGCTTTATACTAAGGGCATTGTGTTTTTACATTTGAGAACTACTGAGGAACTCTGCTGGATAGAAAGCATTGATGATCCTTTGGTAGGATGGTGGCCAAAACAACCCTAAAGGGGCACTTAGACCATTTGCTTTATAGCATAGATCTATGTTATCTGGTAAGCTGCTGACCTTTTGCACGTATTTGGTGTTACTGGGTGTTTTTGTGAAGAGATTTACAGCACCACACTTCTTTTGGAGGACTTTCTGGAGAATTTAAATTTATAATGGACTTTCTTTCTCACTTTCATTTTTTGAGGAAAACACTGTTATCATGTTATTTCGTATTGTGTAATGTATACCAGTTGGTATTTATTATTCACTTAAGTATAGTTTGTTTGAAATTAGCACCACACCATTATTTGATACATTGCTTGTTTTAGGCTTAGTATCACACGCCTTCTAAGTGTTGGCAGCTGTATATTGGTTAGGGATTATATCCTTGAGCACAGAGGTTCTATTTATATAGCAACAGTATATTTATCATGAAAAGCTCCACTTTTCTAGTTAAAAAACTCTTTGATCTTCAGTCAGTGACTTTGCCTAGGTCAAAATGATGTCATCAGTCTGCTCCAAGCAGGAGGAAGCATTTCCTCAGTCTTCTCTTCCCCAGCAATCACACTGTAACATTGTAACTTTGTAGCAAGTTGCAAGATGAGAGGTTGCAACAGCTAACTAATCTGTGTCAGACATTTGTGAACACTGCCAAGAACTGCACTGGCACCAGGATTTACATGATTGTGTCATCTCTGAGCCAGAATCTCAGTCCAGAAGGCAGATGGTGATCCAGGATGAAGTCTGAATGTCCCACTCTCCAAGTTTTCAAACAGAGAAGGCCTGAGAGGCTGAACTCTTGTACTCACAATGCATCAGTCTGGTCACTTAACATGGGACCTGGAAGCAAGTGGAGATCACTGAAGTCGTGGTGTGTACTTCATTGATTTCCAGCTTCCTAGGGCATCGGCCAGGTATGGTATATACATAGTTACATTGGTCCAAGCTAGATCAATGTAACTATGTAAACATAAACCATGCTTCGAATTCCTCTGTAATGTAAATATCAAATATATGCAAACTTTGGCTGCCTTATCTTTGATGAAAATTGGGAGAAAGCTGCATGCGTCCTTAATTTTCATTGTTTTTCCCATTTTAGTTTCCTTTTTTTACAGAAAAAACTTCACTCCCCTTGTTCTGTTTTTAATATCCTCTTATATTTTTTGCAAAGTTATCCTCAACATACATACTCACATGCTCAGCGAATCCAGCGTTGTTTTGCTGTGACCCTCCACTTCTGTGGCTGGGTCTAGGACTACCTCCTCCTTTGGTATGTCATTGGGAGCTAGCTGTGTCTTCTTTGTTTTTGCAGCCAGCCCCCGATGACATACCACCAGGTCTATCCCAGGATACATGACATATACAGTACAATACAGTATAGGTGAGAATAAAGTCAAGGAAGCTGCTGAAATAAAGATGGTAAAAAAAGTAAATAACAAAATAAAAAGGCTTTTTAAAATTGCAGTGGGGGTGGGTTGCAATGGTGAA